TGTTGTAGCTCTCTTCTACGGTAAAATTTTTTTCATCCGAAAAAAGAATTTCCCGATATTTTTTTCCCGCGTACCGCTTCAACAAAGCGCGGCATCTCTTCAGTCTCAGGTCCATTAGACGAGCATTCAAACGATGTCCTGTTTTTCTTCGATATGCCCGAAGCCCTAAGTCTTCATTTAACACCCCTTTCACCGTGGTTCTGCTTAACCCCATCTGAAGGGCCAACAGTTTCTGCTTACGTTTGGGATTTCTTTGAATTCGCGCCTTCACAGCTTTTATCACTGGAGTCCGAACAAACCGAGGGCGACCACTTCTTGACCTGTCATCTACACTAGAGTCTTCATTGTATCGTTTAATGGTACGATAAACGAATCTTTTGGTTATATTCAAATTTTTCAGTATGTCAAAAATTTGAATTGGCGCGTAACCGCAACGATGCAACGCAATAACTGCAACACGGTCTTCTTTAAGCGTCCACTCCATATTTAAAAATGAGTAAAGTTCTAAAAAGTATACAGTTTTATTTTCATGAACAATTCGAAATTCGAATTCAATAAACTTTTTTGTGGCCAGCATTCTAAAAGAAAAGTTTTTACTGTGTGACAATACTTATGACCTGACTAGGTATATATATATATATATATATATATATATATATATTATAACTAGTTAACTCTGTCAACTAACCAGGTACCGCCTAGACGGCCTCCTACTTATTTCTGTCACCAAATAGCAGAGCTGCAGTATAATTACAGATCAGGAGGCATTCTATTTTAATCCTCAGAGGTGACAACGCATCTGTAGCATTCTTTGTTTTAAGTTTTTTGCAGGTGTCAATGGACTGCAGTAGCCACTTACCATCAAGTAACTGTAAGTTCGTTTGTCGTTTCAATTTTATTGAAAAACACCAATCCAAACGGACTCGTAGGCAGAATAAGAACCATATTTCTTAATAAGGTTATTGGAAAGAAGTTCCTTGTCGGACGGTACGGGTTTGGCGGATGGGAGCTAGGCGACAAAAAGTGTAAGATTTTTCGTCACTACCCCTTGTGTCATAGTGTAGACGGCCTTGGCGGCGAAATAAGGAAGTGAGATGGAATAATATCCATCTCCCTCGCACTTTTTCTTGCCATGAAAGAAATATTATTTTATTTCAAATGACGCTTCATTTTAATAGACGCTAGTAATTCATTTATTTATATTTTTCAATCAATAATATAATACCTACGTTTATCAATAATAATATACTACGCAAGGAACTTCGTTCCAACCGAGTGTTCCACGACACTCACGCATTTTTTATTTTACTTAACTCTTAAATTTACCACAAAATTAGAGAATCCACCAGCCCAAATCGCCCCGTGTGAAGCGTCTTTGGGAAATGCCAAAAATCCTATGATTAAATAACCACGATAGATTCTTCTGGTTTACGCCACACGTAAAATATCTACACTGGCGACGGGCAGCAGCCTCCAAGATGCGATACTTGGTACTCGAAACCAAAGATGAGGAGCCGCGACAAAGCTGCGAGACAATTAAGGCAAGTCCACCCTACCATGAGAGAGGTTTATAACAAGCAGTGGACTTCTAACGAGCTGATGAAAAACAAGAAGATAGGTTACGATTGTGAAAAGGATGAGGTGTCCAAATTTCTCATCGCCAAATTATCGAAAATATTTTTATTTATTTCGAGATTTTATAAAGGAAACACTTATAAATAAATAATGCGTAGTATTTGCTAAAATATGTATTTTTAACAACTATGATTACAATATATTTATGCATATAGAGATAAAATTGTAAACATAACAAAATAACATTAAATTCAAAATTAAAAACTTATGTATAGGACATATTAAACGTATTTTTTTCTGATATTCCTTGTTTGAGTTCGACCAAGTTAAAAATATAGCAAGGTGCATACATAACATTAGAAAAGTAAATATTCCATTAGAGAAAAAACATTAGAAAATTAATAAATTTGTGCATATTTGAAAAATATTATGCTTAAATCTAATGATCATATTACTTGCTAACATTATAAAAATATTTGGATTCGTATCAAAAATATTGCACTTCCATTGTTGCAGGTACAATATCGTATGTCGTGCGTGTGCAACGTGCGTGCACGCAGTATTTTTTTTTAGTGAAATTACCTGATCTTGTTAAGTCCTTTAGTATAAAAATACCATGTTAGAGTCACGCTGCGGCTATATTATGCTTATTTTCAAGAATGGGCACGAATGGTGAGAAGTACCACGCTCTCACAGAATACCAGCGTGAAATTGCAACTAATGCTGATACTTTTCGTACGGTGAGTGTAGAGAACTGGAGATCCATTTTACTGGAATCTGGACAATCCATTTAAGCCTTCGGGGGTGATAAGTGATAACGTATCTGTATTTTGATTTTTAATCGAAGATAGATGCAGATGTTAATTGGATACAGCATTCACTTACAGGTGGACTGCGTGCTTGCCTGTTAATCACCCTAATTTTAAAAACATGCGGGTGCGTTGATACTATAGGAAGCTACCGTTGGTTAGCTGTCACCATTTTATTATACTTAGGTACACTATATTCTTTTTTTTACCGACTTCAAAAATACTCAATTCGACTGTATTTTTTATGTGTGTTACTCCTCATAACTTTTTTCTGTAAGAACCGATTCCGATGATTCTTTTTTATTTGAAAGCAGGTGCTTCTCTTGTAGTCCCATAAAATTTGATCGCGGTCTGACCAATAGATACTTAATAATTTATATTGAAGTCGGTTGTACAAAATTTTAAATTATTCACTTACTATAAGTCAGTGCTAGACCACAATCCCACTTGGTGGTAAGAAGTGATAAAGCTAATAGAATAAAAGATAACAAAAGCCTATTCACTCGTGCCTTAAACACGGTCAGATTGTATTCAGACGGAAAGACGGACGCCGGCAGATTATTCCACTCCATTTCAAAAACAAAGGGATGAAGGACATTATTTACGTCTTATAATGTCCTTCATCCCTTGTATACAAAACACAGCATAACGCTGATATTTTCTGGGCGTGGTCCTTATCCAATTGAACAGACCCATTCGTGCCAAACGGACGTCATACAGCTTCATATATATCCAAAAAAATACAATGGTGAACGTTTTACAATACCACATAAAATATATTATTTCTCTATACAAAAACTCACTATGTAAAATTCCATCATCAATAATTAGGTATTTGACAATATCTATAATCAATTGAAATACATTTTAGGAGTTGTCAAAACAAACAGTGCTCTATAAAATATTGTATTAGAATTTCAATCATTCGATATAAATCATTCATCAATCATTCTATTATTCGAGACTGTAGTATACTACATTCTCTTCTCATACAATTTTAGGAGGAGTAAGGACACGATAAGTGATGCAGATTGTTAATAGGTGCAGGTCGTTCAAAACCGTTCTTTTGCCGCAGTCCTTGGGGGAGAACTATGTTCAGAAGTGGTCTTGTGAAGTCATCATTCCTTTACAACACCACTGCTTAACATGAGCCTCCCCCATCACAATTTATTTATGTAACTGCATAAAATAATGACTTCATTTACGGGTATTCTCATAGAATTTCTATTGAACATTCTAATGTTAAATAGACATTCTATAAAATCTTTAATTTTGACAGCACATAAAAAGTATTTCAATTGTGTCTTCATTATATCACTTATGGTAACTACAACCTTGCCTATATATCTGTACTTACTATAATATATATGTCATTTTTCTACGCTGTAAATATATAACGGTAAATCTACCTCTATTTTGTTCCATCATACTTTCTTTAGTTTTTTATCTAATTATGTGCGCTTTCACAGAACACAAAAAAGTAGTTGAAGAAGCATTTACATAATTTGGTGTATTTCTCTAAGCACACTTTTTTAAACCTTAAGAAATGTATGTATATTAGTATTTATCTTTAATAAAATAAATGGATTTTTTTTTTATCTTTATACAGGATGGAAGTGTCACCAGCTGAATATTGCGTAACGGATAATTGTGACTTGTTTCAAAAAAGGATGTAACTCAAAAAATATTATTATTATTTTAATATTTCTATCGGTTTCTTTAATTATTATTGATTAAATATGATTTTTTTTATTATTATACCAATAGTTTAGCAGCGTACTGACTGGTGTGCCTATATTATATACAATGCAACATTGTATAGGTATATACGTGGTAGAGCCATGCTGCAGATATATTATGATTGTAGCACGAATGGGTCGGCTCGACCGGGGAAGGACCACGCTCTCACAGAATACCAGCGTAAAATAGCAGCTTAACGCTGCTGTGTTTCGTATGGTGAGTGTAGAGAACCGGAGACCCTCTTTACTGGAAACGAGGCATTCCATCTTAGTCCTAACGGGTGACAACGCATCTGCATTTTGATTCTTTATTGAGGATAGATGTAGATGTCTATGGGCCACAGCAACCACTTACCATCAGGTGGACTGTGTGCTCGTTTGTCACCCATATCTTATAAAAAAAATTGTTGATTGCTTTAATAATTATTGCTTTTAATCGACTATACTACGTTGCACAATATGTGTGTAGTCACTAGCCCATAGACTTTTTAAACCGCTTGTTTAATCTTAAAGCTGTTTACTGACGGAGCGTCAACAATATTCTGAGATCACATCCTCATTTCATCAAGCACCAATAGCAATATCAGCTGGAATTTTCTGAACAACTTTAACAGTTATGGAAACTTGCGGACCTAAGCCTAAATCTCTTTAATCAGGCTCCACACATTAGCACTTGTATATGATTGATTTTTACAAATGTATATAAAATTACTTAGACTAATAACAAACAACTCAACCATTTTAATTTCTTGAAATTGATGATTCCCGTGTCTACCAAGCGTAAAATTATTATTGACACTTGGAAATTACCTATTTATATTATTTTTGTACTAGTGTATGATTTCATTTGTGCGTCAACTTGTGTCGGAAATACTTATTAAACGGACTCTTGAGCGCTTCTATACTCGTATACGCTTCCTCTCTCTAAAAATTCGCTATACTGCTTGTTTGTTTGCTTGTCAATTGAGCTGGAATCTGTTGGTCGACCGTAACCACCGCCTCCAGGAGAGTTCATAATATATTTATCCTGAGATTTAAAAAAAAATGTTAAATAAAGGTTGACTAAAATCGTATATAAATATAAGTTAAAAGTTACAGCCTATATACGTCCCCCAGCTGGACACAGACCTCCTCTCATTTCTGAGAGGATTTTAGGTAACAAGGAAATGTCCTCAGCGCTGCCGCAATGCGCGTTGGCGAACTTCACATGTTTTCGAAATATTGTTTTTTCGTGTTTCTTCAGACATGCAGGGTTCCTCTCGATGTTTTCCTTCACCGCCGAGCACGTGGTAAATGAATATATAAAAAAATATTTCGAAAACATGTGAAGTCCGCCAACACGCATTGGGGCAGCGTGGCGGACACTTCTTTGGCTAAAACCCTCTCAGAAACGAGAGGAGGCATGTGCTCAGCATTTGAACGTATATGTACGCCTATACATGCTAGACTATAACTGAATAGAATATAAAACAAATGCATGTATTTGCTTTAAAAGGTATAAGGATTATGCATTAATGTGGGTATTTGGACAATAAAGTCAGTCAGTACTTCGTAGCTGTTTCATTGTTGTTTCCTCCGGTATAAAAAGTATTTTACAATCCAACCCACATTCGGACCAAAACCCCAATTTTTTCACACTTCAATTTGGCATAAGGATTTCGTCCCAGGACACGCATACGCGACGTAGTTACCAGGTGCTGACTCAGGTACACAAGGACAAACACTCAGGTACACTGATCCAGAACCATGACATGTCGTTCCCACTTGTCGGGTGTCGGGCGCCATATTTTAATCGGGTGTGGGCGCTTCTGTTCACACTTGTCGGTTGTCGGACCCGGTCGAAGCTGAAGCCATTTTTGGCAGTCTATGCGAGGCGACTCTACACGATGGACAACGACGAAGTTTTTATCACGTACTATTTGAGAAGAAAAGAAATAAAAAAAACTAGGAAAAGAAAATTTTGAGTTCAAGCAATCCAGAGAGAAGTATTTAATTTGGGAATATTTCAGAACTTAACTGAATTGAGAAGTGACAAAGTGAAGTTTTTCAATTATTTAAGAACTAGCTGTTCCCCGCGACTTCGCCCGCGTGTTATTTGGGGTTATAATTTTTTTTTGCGCGGAAACCTAATGCTTCTTCTAAAATAAAAGTAACCTAAGTTACTTCTTGTGACATCAGCTATCTGCAAGTGAAAAACCCTTAAAATCGGTCCAGCCGTTTCGGCGATTAGCCGGAACAAACAGACAGACAAAAACTAAAAATAGTATTTTGTTATTATTACCGTATATACTTTCATACGCATTTAGTAAAAATCTGTAATTTTGACATTACAAACAGACACTTCAATTTTATTTATTTATCTAGATATCAATAAAACACAATATAATATATTTCAATAAATGACAATAAAAACACAACAACCCTCCGTGCGCACCGCAATAATATGTGTGTGCGCGATTTGCGGGCAAAACCCCCAACATTTCTTGTCAACAACGACAAAATAACGGCGTAGGATAAGTGTGAACAGCTTCATATAAAATGTTCTGCCACTAAAGCAGCCGATTTTCTATCGGGCCCGACACCCGACAAGTGAGAACGAGCTCTTGTTTTTAGGCCTTACAAATAGTCTCGGGAATCGAACCCGAGGCCATAGCCCAAACGCATCATAATATTCGGATGTTTTCGCGGTCTTAGCCAAATTGACCTTCTACAATCGTTAACTATAATAGAAAACTATAAAAAATTGAAGTCACGTGACCTAAAATTGATTTCATACATTTTTATAGTTTTCTATTAACGTTAACAATTGTATAAAGTCGAAAGCTAAGCCTGCAGTCCAAAAAAAACCAAAGATTATTAAAGATATCGGCCTAATCCATAAAAATCGACGTAAATTTAAGAAATGCTTAGAGTTGCTCACTTTCTCTCTCTTCAGTAAATTACAATAGAAAGAGATAGGCATAGAGATAATTAATACTTGATACTATTGTCTTACTTCAATCGTATACTACGCGATAGTATACGATTGAAGTAAGACAATGTTTAAGTTATACATGTGCGTTATAAGAAAAGCATACGACGAACCCCAGGATAGGCCTCAACAGACGCTCTTCCCCCAAGATTGATTATCCTGCCGTCTGTCCTTTGTAGCAGGTTTAATCCTCTTTCTCCCGGTTCACCACCTAAATAAAGATTATCTTTACTTATTGAGTCCATTTCAATTACGTACATTTAACACACTGCAATATGTATTCATGGACATCTACATCTATCCTCAATATGAGATAAATCAAAATGTAGATGCATTATTAGTGTAGTAGTGGAATGCCTCGTGTACAGTAAAAAGGGTCTACAGCTTACATTACACGCATAGTATTTTGTGAGAGTGTGGTCCTGTACCAGTTGAGTTGATCAATTCTTGCTACAACTATAATATAGCTGCAGCGTAGCTCTACCACGTATAAATATGGACTAGATGCTCCCTCGTCACCTTTAGTTAAATTAAAAAAAAATCGAAGGCGTCTTTAAAAATAGAACAACTGCCAGTTCGCTATTTTTTGTAGCGTGTGTGTGGCAAAACATGATCGGCTTTCCGTTTTAAGTTAGATTTTTTTTAAAAATATACATCTCATCATATCGTTCATACATTTAATACAATTTCTTTGGAAATTCTATTAAAAAACTTCTAATTCTTAAAAAATTCTTATACAATTATTTCTATAAAATTAATTTTAATGTTTTGTTAGCTCAAAATATTTCAACTGACATGTGTTTAATAGCTTGTTAATTATACAGGATAACCCATACGTTTTTCTGTTGGAAAGGGGAATATATCATACGTGGTAGAGCCATGCTGCAGCTATGATAGTAGTATAGTTGTAGCAGGAATGGGTCGGTTCAACCGGGGAAGGACCACGCTCTCAGAATACCAGCATAAAATAGCAGCTTAATGTTGCTGTGTTTCGTATGGTCAGTGTAAATAACCGATGAAAACCCTTTTTACTGAAAACGAGGCATTCCATTTTAGTCCTCAGCGGTGACAACGCATCTGCATTTTGATTAATAGTCGAGGATAGATGTAGATGTCTATGGGCCATAGCAACCACTTACCATCAGATGGACTGTGTGCTCGTTTGTCACCCTTATCCTATTAAAAAAAATCAATAACCATATGATTAAAATAATCTCACCATTCATTCCATAAGGCTGGAAAGCTCTACGTTCCGTCAGAACCGACAGCTGTACGGCTCGTCTGAAGATCAGCTCTCTTGTTACTCCATCACCACCGTTCCAGCGTCCTGTATCAGTCAAATGTTTATATCAATCAAATTTTTTGTAATATTCTACGATAAAACGTTTCTCGAGGGGCGGCCTCGTACAATCCAGTGTAAGCTTTTTTTTTTAATTTTACATAAAAAAGGTCTCCAAGACGTGTATGGAAAATGTAAATAGTATGTGCGAAGTCTAGATAGTCAAGGAAAGCAGCGGAGCAAGCTAGTAAATTTGGTCGGTATTTATTACCAATTAAAGGGAAATCCTACCTGTGCGTAAAAAATTAAAAAAGAAAATTCCTGCTCTGCATTTTCACACATGTACATACATATGCAATTTACTTATACGTACGTATTATATACACGCCTCGATGGTCTCGGTGATCCCTAATTCGAAACCATTTATCATTTAACGGTATTAAACTTATAAAGTCAATGAATCAAAAAAGTACATGCATATTAACGTTGCGTAAACGTAGCAGGTGCGTTTCTCATCGATAAGAGTTCTTATACACCATAACTGTTTCAAGGGTTTGCAAATGAAGTGAAACGTACCAAATGACTTTTTATTTAGTGCTCATCTACTAAACATATAACCACGTCGGTTGATACAAAAATACATATTATGTATTTTTGTATCAACCGACTTGAATATAAATAAAATGAGAACATCATCAATGTAGTCAAAGTTAATTAAATAAGGATAACTCAAAAACTACTGGTCAGATATTGATCAAATTTAAATGGGACCACGTGCCACCAGCTTTCAAATAAAAAAGTATCATCAAAATCCGTTCACCTAGCAAAAAGCTCTGAGGTAACACATAAAAAAATACAGTCGAATTGAATACCTCTTTTTTTGAAGTCGGCTAAAAGCAAAAGAAAAAGAAGGAGCCTCTTTTAATAATAATTTAACAAAATGGTTACTGGAAAATTATTTCTATACCCTAAAAGAATATTTAGAATTGAAAAATTTGTTTAATGATTTATGTGATTCACTTATAGATAGTTTTTTTTTTTTGTATTATGTACCTAAATATTTGCACGTCTGCGAGCAGGCTCTACACATGTACATAATAGATATTTAACTTAAGACCCTGTCAACCGTTCATGCAAATAAAGAATTTGTGTTTGTAAAAATAACTCATCTTACCTTTCCCTCCAGACCCTTCTCGCAAAGAGAACTTATTCACAAGTATAGGATAGCGTGTTTCGACAATCTCCACGTCCGTTATACGGGTGTTGGTCATGTGAGTGTGGACTCCACCCGAGCCGTGCCATCCGGGACCCTAAAAAAAAATATTTTTTTTTACTTTTTCTTATGAAAGAGATTTCCATCGATTAAATTTTAATCAATTCCACTACTGGATATTGTGCTGACGCAAATTAAAAGGCAATTTTTTTTCCATTGATAAGAGTGACAAACGAGCACACAGTCCACCTGATGGTAAGTGGTTGCTGTCGCCCATAGACATCTACATCTACCTTCAATTAAGAATCAAAATGCAGATGCGTTGTCACCCGTGAGAACTAAGATGGAATGCCTCGTTTCCAGTAAAAGGGTCTTTCTCTACACTCACCAAACGAAACACAGCAGCGTTAAGCTGCTATTTTACGCTGGTATTCTGTGAGAGCGTGGTCCTTCCCCGGTCGAGCCGACCCATTCGTGCTACAACCATAATATAGCTGCAGCATGGCTCTACCACGAATAAAACGTTATAAAATTTGTTAACTCAAGAGAGGAGAGTTAACAAATTTCTTGTAATGTAAACTTACAGCTCCGCTACCACCCGCTACGGTTTCATAATATCCCCAACTCGTCTCTCCTAACGTCAAGTTATTCATGCAGCCTTGTGAAGCGGCGCAAACCTGTAAATTACCAAACATTAATAAACAGTTACAACTTTCAAGAGGATATTCCGTGTAGTCCATACAAACGTTTTCCTGTGTTCTGCCTGGATAATGATACTAGAGTATTTTTTCTAGTATCGTATGTATTATCTACTACGCCCATATTCCTATGTTTTATTTTTTCCATAAATTAATTATTTCAATAACTAGGAACTTACTAAAATGTAATGTTTAATGTAAAAGTTAATAGACATCTAGTAAGTTAATTAAACGATCGAAAAACAAAAATATACAGATTCGCCAAAATCCTTTCTATACCAATCGATATTGAAAAAAAAACTTTAATCGATCTAGTTCTTAAAAGTATATAAAGGTTTTGTAAGTGCGTGCGTACGTTTGATTCGTGTACGTTCGTATGTTAATGAACTTTTTGTATTAGATACTTTACGTTAAGTTAAAGGAAAGAAGATTCTATTTTCTTGAAATCTTAATTTAATTGCAAGCCATTTCTACATTTTTTTTGTTCAATTTTTTTCGGAATTAATTTGGTGGCAATTGGTTTTATGTCTTCATCTCTCATCTCCAATATTATTCCACAAGATATTGCGAAATGAACACCAAATATAAGTTTTTTTCCAGCAATGATTCCATATTACTTACTTGGAACGCTTTTAGAACAACATCAACAATGCGTTGTGATGTAAGCACGTTTCCGCCGACCACCGCCGCAGTTTCGGACGGGTCAAGGATCGATCCTGAAGGAATTATAACTTGAACGGGATTTAAGCAACCCTGGAGATCAAAAGGAAGAATAAAAGTAAATTGCATAGTACGTTATCATAATATTCAAGACAATTTTTTTATAGAAGTTTGATGGCAAGTGGAAGAAAAAAACAAACATCAAAATGCAGTTTTTTTTTAAATAGAATAACGTTTACAAACGAGCACACAGGACACCTCATGATGAGTGGATGGTGTGGCCCATAGACACAACATTTTAAGAATTACATACCTGATTCAGTGGTACATCATGTCCGACCATACACCGCAAGCAATAAATTAAGGCCGAAAGTGTGATAGCTCGCGGTGCGTTTAAATTTCCCCATACTTCTACGCCAGTACCGCTGGAAAATACTAGTTTTTAAAAAAAATGTATTTTCGTTTAAATATATAGGTCGAGTTATATAAAATTCAAACTAGAAAATACATAATTTAAGACTTTTTCTACGTCTTATTCTTCTTCGCGCTTCTACCATTATTGATGGGTCACAATAAGCAAATAAAAACTACTTTCTCTTTCATTCGTTAATCTTACGTCATTTGCTAAATCAATTACAGCGTTCCACAAGGTATTATACTGGGACCTATCCTATTCCTTTTACTGAGGCAACCTATGTAGTATTTATTTCATACATAAAAACAAGACTTTCGTCTCTTGAACTAAACTATACTATATTATTTTTTATCCCATAAGTCTTAAATGCTCAGTAAATATCTGAAACGATTCATTCTCCCTTACGAACAGTTACAATAAGTACAGAGTTCAATTAAAACCTTTAATCATTTCGGCAACTTATGAGAATTAATTTAAAGGGAATTTTTAACCATCGAAGCTTCGGAACAATACTTCTAGAACGAGTAGTATTGTTCTGAAGTTATTAATTGTTATAGATACACATAACGATTTTTACAAGTACTTAATATAAAAACACTCAATGTTGTGTGTTCCTTTAAAAGTCAACAGCTGAACATAAGTCTCCCCAAAAGATTACTTCATTTAAGGAATTTTGTCATAGTTGCCACGATTGGCAGGCGGGTCGACAACCACAGTTTTTTATTATTTTAAGTTATTAAGAATATACTGTTGCCCATCACCTGTTTCAGTTTAACTTGTGGCCTCTTACGACAGACACCGGTCGATATGGGGTAGTGGATATTCTTACACCGTCACTACACGGTTAATGTAAATATAGCAAATAATTATTTGATATCTCAAGTGATGTGGCCATGTACATTCACCGTAAGCTGAAGACGAAGTTTTCTCGCACGAATATCTTCGGGATGGGTTAGGCTATAGTATTAGCAGCAAAAACAGGAAAAAACATTACCAGTAAGTTACCGTTTTTATACGTGGTAGAGCCATGCTGCAGCTATATTATGGTTGTAGTACGAATGGGTCGGCTCGACCGGGGAAGGATCACGCTCTCACAGAATACCAGCGTAAAATAGCAGCTCAATACTGCTGTGTTTCGTATGGTGAGTGTAGAGAACCGGAGACCCTTTTTACTGGAAAAGAGGCATTCCATCTTAGTCCTCACGGGTGACAACGCATCTGCATTTTGATTCGCAAACGAGGATAAATGTAGATGTCTATGGGCCGCAGCAACCACTTACCATCAGGTGGACTGTGTGCTCGTTTGTTACCCGATACTATTAAAAAAAATGTATGCGATTCCGAGTACTATTACAACAGAACGCCGATTATCCGAACTAATTGGGACCGGGGTCGATTCGGATAATCGATAATTCGGATAATCGGACATAGACTGGTATGTAAAATACAAAAACGAACTGTAACACATAGAATAAACTTTATTAAGTTTATAAATGGTTTTACACTTTATAAAGTCTTATAAAGAGTAAAACCAGCTACACCCCTTTTTTCACATAAAATCGATCCTGAAATCGGTTGTCCAATAGATCGTTGCTGCAGAAACTACGTAAAAACAGCATTTTCAAGCTGTTCATCCTTTCCCTTTTTCATTACTTTTCGCGACGAACATCTATCACCAGTTTTCAACGCAGTCACAAAACTTAAAATTTTTTAACTGTTATTTTTAATATTAGTTAACCAACTACTGTATAAGTAATGATACTTACTGTACTTACTTTTATTTTTTTATATGACGCTTAGAAACGATTCGGATAATTGGCGATTCGGGTAATCGGCGTTCGGATGATCGGCGTTCTACTGTACTTCCAATCCCGGGTTTATCATAACAAAAACTAAAGAACTAGCGATAAAAGCCACTTACGTGAAATCACAAACTGCGCTGCCTTTGTCTTTATCTAGCGTTATAGTTAGAACAATAGGAGTACCGTTATCCATATATTCAGTAGCCTTTAAAACAGCCGAGCCGGTTTTTTCAATAGCATTCTTGGCTATTTCCTGCGATAAAGTAAGTTAATTTAACGACAAGTTTTATATTATTTGTTTTGCGTAGTTAATTGAGTAGGGTATTTTTAAAATTACAATAAAATGTAAAATCCACATACCTTTAACATATCTCGGACAGCGAGCTCGGCGTTCTTCTGTATATGCGACATATACGCCTGGACTACGTCCAGCCCGTACTCGTCAATTAACTCCAGCACCAGTTGGATGCCCTAGAGTAAAATACGAGTAAGTAACTTTAAGTAAAAAGTGTTTTGAACCAATCGTCAAATCATACATCTTTAATTTTTTTTAATGAATTATGTGACAAACATTACATGATGGTAAGTGGCTACTGCAGCCCATAAACAACTTCAACCAACCATAGCCTTCTTTGTTCAACAATACATTGCCCATGAGGACTAAGTTGGAATGCCTCACAGCGTGTATTTAACTCTGGCTCCACTCTATATATATATATACACTGCAGTCCCGGCACTGCTATTTGGTAGCAGAAATGAGTAAGAGGGCGGAAAAGGGATCCAAGCTCCTGGTTTTTTTATAGCATAAGGGTGACACACAGCGAGCACACAGTCCACCTGATGGTAAGTAGTTGCTGTGGCACATAGATATCTACATCTATCCTCGATTGCGAATCAAAATGCAGATGCGTTGTCACCCGTGAGGACTAAGATGGAATGCCTCTTTTCCAGTAAAAAGGGTCTTCGGTCTTCTGAATGTAGAATTCACCATACGACACAGCAACACTGAGCTGCTATTTCAGCTGGTATTCTGTGAGAGCGTGGTCCTTCCCCGGTCGAGCCGACCCATTCGTGCTACAATCATAATATAGCGGCAACATGGCTCTACCACGTATAAAGTCATTTATTGATAGTCTCGGATTAAGCTATGCTTTTAGAAGATTCCTTCTAATTAAGGAAGTCCCTCACCCGCGACGGCACAGTCTTCGCGAAATTTGACATTTGCTGTCAAACTTCATACTTTACATTTTAGTTCCATTAATTCCACGGGACTTCTCTAAAAAAAATAGTTGAGTAGAGAGAGATTATAGTTTGAACCTGAGACCATATTCCTTGGATATCGTTTTCGTAAATTAAATTCATGACATTTTTTATCTCATATTGTATGACACTTAAAGCAATAATAAGATCCTGACTTATTTTAAGACCTTGGGCTCGCCACTGCATGGCAGTGTACACTTACCCTTTGGTTGGCAGCAACTTGTGCCTTCAAGTCCGACAGGTTGTCAGCCAAATTCCTTGTGCCGGAGCAACCTGGCTCTTTGCCTGGGGCCATCAATTCTGCAACAGACAGTCAATATATTAATACGTGAAGAGAAAACTTTGTACTCTATTTTAAACATATTGCGCGTACGGATACGGAGTTGGCATAGTTAGTTTATATAGAAAAAAAGTACAGAATGCAAAAAGTATATGTGTATATATTGTGTTACAAATAATATTAAATTAAATTATATATGTACAACACAATGAATTTTTACGCGTACTATCATAAGGCCTATGTGGAACACATAATAGTCTGTAAGTTAAACAGTCACACAGAGCATAGATTGTCACCAAAGAATTATAAAATATTCAACGAATGAGCTGTGTGTAATTTAAAATGTACCTTTTTAAATAGCCGTGTAGTGGCGGTCAAGAATATCCACTACCCCACATCTTCCCGTGGGTGTCGTAAAAGGCGACAAAGGGAAACAGGCAGGAGATGGGCAGCAGCATCTTCCTGATAATAGCCAAAATTACAATAAAAAACTGCGGTTGCCAACCCGCTCGCTAAGCGTGGCAACTATGGCAAATACCCCCCTATGAAGAGAGTAACAAGGAGACGACCATGGTAACGGCGGGGCTGGGGGTGCTAAGAATCTCCGGTGGATGTTCGGTTGCCACCTTACACGACTCGACCTGGCAACGTACAACGCACGCACCCTGAGGACTGACGAGAAGATCGTGGAGCTGGAAGAAGAGATAGACTAGTTACGCTGGCATATTATAGGATTATCCGAAGTCCGAAGAGAGGGGGAGGACACGGTAATCCTCAAATCCGGCAACTTGCTCTATCAACGGCAGGGCGACCATCTGTCCCAAGGAGGTGTCGGATTGATCGTCCACAAGTCACTCGTTAACAACGTTGTAAAGATCGGGAGTGTGTCGACGAGGGTTGCGTACCTTATACTCAGAATCACCAAACGGTATTCGCTTAAGGTCATACAGGTTTACGCACCAACCTCGGTACACCCTGATGAGGAGGTGGAGGAAATGTATGAGGATATCTCTAGAGTCATGCATTCCTACAAAACCCAATATACGGTGTTAATGGGAGACTTCAATGCAAAACTAGGCAGAAGAAAGAACGGTGAGCTGAAAGTAGGAAAATTTGGAACAGGGCAACGGAACCCGAGGGGCCAGCAGCTGGCAGATATCATGGAGAAAGAGGGACTCTTTATGATGAACTCTTTCTTCCAGAAGCGGCCCCACAGGAACTGGACCTGGTCGAGCCCCGACGGTTCGAGAAAAAATGAGATTCACTTCATTATGACGACCAGACAACAACTGTTCAGTGATGTCTCCATGATCGCGAGGATGAAAACTGGTAGCGATCACCGAATGGTTAGAGGCACACTGAACCTAAACGTTAAGTTGGAGAGGTCATGTCTAATGAAGTCAACGCTACGTCCCCCTCGTGCTCTGTTCCAAAGCCCTGAAACCTTTCAGCTCGAGTTACAAAACCGTTTTCAGTGCCTAGAAGACTGCAATGAAGTGGACGATATGAATGAAAAGCTCGTGGAAATTGTCCATGCGGTCGGAGCTAAGTTCTGCAAGACCCGCCGCAGAAGAACACAAAAACTCTCCGATCACACTCTTAATCTCATGGCTGTTAGACGGGAGATGAAGCTACATTCTTCAACAGATTTGACAGCATACAGGCAACTGAACAGACAGATCTCCAAATGCATGCGGCGGGACTTGCGCAACTTCAATACAGCTTGTATTGAAGAAGCGATCGAGCGGAACTAAGGCTCCAAAGTCTTTGCCAGAGATCTGACTGCCAGAAAGAGCCAACTGTCAAAGCTGAAGACCGAGTGTGGCAGCATCGTTTCCGGGGCACCTGAGATTTTGAGTGAGATTGAGGGGTTCTATGGACAGCTGTACACGTCATCGTTGGAGCCACACGCAAGTGTGAGTAACGATCCAAGAGCGAGTCTTATCCGACACTATTCCGAAGATATCCCGGACGTCAGTCTGAGCGAGATTCAAATGGCTCTTCAGCATCTTAAAAACGGCAAGGCCCCAGGCGAGGATGGAATTACAGCGAAGCTTCTGAAAGCGGGTGGAAAACCGGTACTGGAAGTCCTTCAGAGGCTCTTTAATTCCGTCCTCCATGGTGGCATTACACCGGAGTCGTGGAGCAGAAGTGCGGTGGTCTTGTTCTTCAAGAAAGGTGACAATGCTCTCTTGAAGAACTACAGACCGATTTCCCTTCTGAGCCGTGTCTACGTGCTGTTTTCGAGAGTCATTACGAATCGTCTCGCACGCAGACTTGACGACTTCCAGCCTCCCGAACAAGCCGGTTTCCGAAAGGGCTTTAGCACCATAGACCACATACATACCCTTCTGCAAGTTGTACAGAAGTCCGAGGAGTACAATTTGCCACTATGCTTGGCGTATGTGGACTATAAGAAAGCCTTTGATTCCGTCGAAATTTGGGCGGTGCTGCAGTCCCTTCAGCGGTGCCAAGTTGACTGTCGGTATATCGAAGTGATGAAGTGCTTGTACAGTAGGGCTACGATGGCTATCCGAGTACAGAACCAGAGTACGAAACCTATTCAATTGCAGAGACGTGTAAGACAGGGTGACGTTATTTATATCCCCGAAACTCTTCACCGCTGCATTGGAAGACGTTTTCAAGCTTCTGGACTGGAAAGGATACGGTATTAACATCAATGGCGAGTACATCACTCACCTTCGATTTGCCGACGATATAGTCCTTATGGCAGAATCGCTGGAGGACCTAAGTACTATGCTCAATGACCTCAATAGTTTCTCCCAACGGATAGGTCTTAAGATGAACATGGACAAAACAAAGATTATGTTTAATGTCCATATCACACCTATGCCGGTAGTTGTTGGGAGCACTAAGCTCGAAGTTGTTGACGAGTATGTTTACCTGAGACAAATAGTCCGACTAGGTAAGTCCAACTTCGACCGAGAGGTCAATCGACGGATTCAACTCGGCTGGGCAGCGTTCGGGAAGCTACGACACATCTTCTGGTCAGACATACCTCAAAACCTTAAAACGAAATTGTACAAACAGTGCGTGTTGCCAGTGATGACTTACGGATCTGAGACGTGGTCCTTCACTGCTAGCCGTATGAGGAAGCTCAAGGTCGCTCAGCGAGCTATGGAGAGGGCTATGCTCGACGTTTCTCTGCGTGATAAACTTAGGAATGAGGATATCCGCAGTAGAACCAGAGTAACCGACATAGCCCAACGGATTAGTAAGCTGAAGTGGCAGTGGGCCGGCCATATAGCTCAAAGAACCGACAACCGATGGGGAAGAAAGGTTCTCGAGTGGCAGCCTCGTACCGGTAGGCGAAGTGTAGGGCGACCCCCCACGAGATGGAGTGACGACCTGGTAAGACATGCAGGAAGTCGATAGATGCAGGTGGCTCAGGACCGTGCTTTGTGGCATTCCTTGGGGGAGGCCTCAGCTGTGGACTTATGAAAGGTTGTAATGATGATGAATGATGATTTTAAATAGCGTGTGGAATGTATGTCAACGCAAAAACGCGTTCTTTTTTTTGTTTCTGATATATCTGTGTACAATAATACTCGTGTAGTGACGGTATAAGAATATCCACTACCCCATATCATCCCGTGGGTATCGTAAGAAGCGACAGAGGGAAATAAACCAGAAGATGGGCAGCAGCGTCTTCCTAATCTCTATATATAGAAATAAATTGGTGTCCGTTAGTTTCGCTAAAACTCAAAAACCGCTCGACCGATTTTGATGAAAATTGTTAGTTGTGTTTGAATGGGTCCCTAGATGGTTTGGATGTTGAATCTAAATGATTTGGACCCGGTAGGTGGCACTGTTGTCGAGATACAGAAATTACCTAACTAAAAATTAAAAGCTCCGATTGCAAACCCGTGCCAAGCCTGGCAACTATGGTAAATATCCCCCCTATGAGGCAATGAGCCAGTCTATGGAGGAGGCCTGTGTTCATCAGTGGACTTTAATAAATAATAGGCTGTAACGTTAACGGTATATACCACTATTTTAAGAGTATATTTCGAGGATATGTTGTGACTAAATGGGGCTAAATCTAGCTACCTGAGCAGCTTGGCGGAGTCCATAAACTCAGAAACGAGGAGACCTGTGCCCAGCAGTGACACATATATATACTGTAACTTTTGTTGTAATTTATTTTACAAAACTCACCTTCAATCAATTTGTCCTCCTTAAAATTACCGGCGTCGACTAATAGGAATGATTTGAATGCAGCGCCCTCTTGCGCCAAGCTAGTGGAGTGCGGAGGCATCGAGCCCGGCGTAAGCCCTCCTATATCTGCGTGATGGCCGCGCGACGCAACGAAGAATATTGGCAGAGACTGTGATCTAAGTAAAGTTTTTTTTTCATGTGACAAACGAGCACACAGACCATCTAATGGTAAATGGATACTATAAACCATAGACACCTATATCTACCGTCGACTGAGTAGAATGCAAATTCGTTGTCACAAGATGCAATCAATGGATCTTTGAACGTGTAGCGGTATTCTTTTTTTTTCTTAGCCAATGGACTCGTACAGTTGTACTTTTGCCAGTCAAGAACATTAAGAAATAATTCTGCATAATAGTGTGTTTCAACATGCTTCACAGTATGTTGATGCATCACACTGTTCAGTTTTTGAGAGATTTTAACGGTGATAGTATCTCAAGGCGCCTAAGCAGATACGTTATCTTGAGATTTACATCATCAGCCGAGTACTTGTTTCATCGTTTCCACTAACAGTTTATATGTGCAGACATTTAATACACCAAATCGCACCATGTTTACGTATCAAAATCTACTTCAAACCATAATTTAAACAATAATACAGAAGCAGCAATTCGCTGCCAGTCAAGTTTTTTCTATAGGATAGGTTGGCAAACGAGCACATTGTCCACCTGATGGTAAGTGGTTGCTGTAGCCCATAGACATTTACATCTATTCTCAATAAAGAATAAAAATGCAGATGCGTTGTCACCCGTGAAGAATAAGATGGAATGCCTCTTTTCCTCTAAAATGAGTCTCCGGTTCTCTACATTCACCATACGAAACACATTAAGCTGCTATTTTACGTTGCTATTTTACACAGGTGTTCTGTGAGAGCGTGGTCCTTCCCCTGACGAGCCGACCCATTCGTGCTACAACTATACTACTAAGATAACTACAGCGTGGTACCACGTATGTGTTCCCGCCAAAACTCAAGAGGAATTAAATGGAATGCCTCGTATCCAATAAAAAGGTGTATGTGATGCAGCCACGCTGTATCTGTATTATGGCTGCACCAGCAATGGGTCGGTTCGACCAAAAAACGACACTAACATAAAATGGCAGCCTAATGCTGCTATTTCGTGTGAAGAGTGTAGAAAAACGTAGATGAGATGTAGATATGTAGAGAAACCTTTTTACTGGTAGAGAGGTTGATGCTCGTTTGTCACTCTTAGTAAAAAAATAACACACAGCAGCATTATGCGTTAAGTTTCTTTTTTATAGGAGAGGGGGCATACGAGCATGCGGCTCACCTGATGGTAAGTGTCTACCACCGCCCATGAACAACTGCAACACCAGGGGAATTGCAGATGCGTTGCCGGACTTTTAAAAAGGAGTAGGCTCTTTTCTTGAAGGTCCCTAAGTCGTATCGGTCAGAAAAATCGCTGGTAGTAATCGATTCCACAAGGAAGTTGTGCGAGGAAGAAAACATTGTTGCTATTTTACGTTGGTATTCTGTGAGAGCGTGGTCGTATCCCAGTCGAGGCGACCCATTAGTACTACAACCATAATATAGCTGCAGGGTGGCTCTACCACGTTAGCTTAGGTTTGAATCGTCTACAATTAATTTAATTTGGGTTTAGATGTTTGTCCATGTACTATATATGTATAAGTAACACTACAATATTACAGGAGTAAACCCTAGTGTATATAATGTTTGAATAACTTACGTATGAAATACAGGAGTGATAACTGTCAAGTCGGGAAGGTGTGAGCCGCCGGCTTTGGGATGATTGGCCAGTAACACATCTCCCCGCTTAAGAGAGTCGCCTCTTACTTTCATCTGTAAAGTACACACACATATAAATCCAAATGTAGTTGTAGAGTTTTGCATTTTAGTATATATTTAATGTACATAGAGAAAAGCAAATAAAAAAAACTCTGTTGTTCCCGTTAAGTGCTTATCAGAATCAGTGTTCAAACGTAAAGAAATAAGTTTAATTGATAAAACTGCGAACTGTGTATTTTTGATATTTTTATAAATCTCCGCTTAAGAACTTGCGTATCTTAAGGGGAGATTTATAAAGTAAGAGTTACATAACGTCAAGTGTATGTAAGTGAGACTTAGGCTCAGATTTATAGACCGTACTTTGACTTTGCTCAGACTAAGCTTAAATTACGTAAGTAGGAAATAGATTAATGCTTTTTCAAACTAGAAGACGGCCTAAATCTACCTATTTATTGTTATAATTAATTAGAGTAAACAGTCGTAGAGCCACGAGGCAGCTTTTGCTATCGCACGGATGGGCCGGCCGGAACCGGGGTGGTACCACGACCTCACAGAATACCAGCGTGAAGTAGAGGTTTACCTCTGCGTTTCGCTTGGTGAGTGCAGGTAGCCGGAGGCCCTTTTTACTGGAAATGAGGCATTCCATCTTTGTCCTCACGGTTGACAACGCATCTGCATTTTGATTCGCAAACGAGGATAGATGTAGATGCCTATGGGCTGCAGCAACCACTTACCATCAGATGGACTGTGTGCTCGTTTGTCACCCTTATCCTATAAAAAAAAGAGTAACATAAAAACAACAATTTAAAATGAATACGGTGGTTTTGAATAATATCCTGAGTTTTACGTAAGTCGTCGATATCGTTGACTTTGCTAGGCTTTGCTAAGCGCACACTCAACACGACTTCGAAGTTAGCTCTATAAATACCGACATTCTCTTAGCTCGAAAGTAAAGTCAAAGTACGGTCTATAGATCTCAGCCTTAGCGTTGTAGTAATGAAGAAAGTACTTTAATATACCGCGTAAACTAGTGGTAGGTGTAAAAAGTTAACTGGCGCCTCCTGAATATCGAAGGAAATAGAGGATTCAGGTTTGGGTTTTTGCACTTTACACTCTTCTATTTTACAAGACCAAAACGTATATGCTTTAAAAGGATTCCAGAAGTTTTAGAAATATTTAAACAAATAAAATGGTACTTCATTATTTTTCCAAATAAGTAATAACATGTAAACAATTTTTATGTATTTAGATAACTACAGGAATTTTGACATTGAAAAACATAGCCTATTCTTTAAAATTTACGTAGAACTTACGAAAAGTGTTAATAATATATAATATTATCTAATATAGCTGAAAAAAAATTCATTTTTCTCAGATTTTTTTGGGGGGCCTTTTTATCCAACCTGTATAAAGTAAAATAACAAATCGTTCCACACTTCGACAGCACCAAAATACTGAGGCATCCAAGTAAATTGCTTAACAGCTAATTTCTGGTTTGTAGGTGTCTGGAAATTGTATTATTTGTTTAAGGAAATCCTTCCCTGACATATGCCAACCATTCCTTTCTCACCTGATACTGGACGGTTTCCTGCATAGCGCCCAGGTGGACTGGTATGTGTGGCGCGTTAGACACCAGGCCACCGTCAGGTCCGAATAAAGCACAAGAGAAGTCCAAACGCTCCTTAATGTTCACCGATATCGATGTGCGTTGGAGCACCCTGGTGATAACAAAGACGTATTAAAAACATCTTAGGGTGATAATTGTTATTATAAAATCTTACTATCCTACTAACCGTACTCTTACTTACTATAAATGTGAAAGTTTGTTTGGATGTTTGCACACTTCACTCTTCTATCAACAGACTTTAATAAAACTTGGCAATATTATAGAAAAAAACCAGATTAGAACATAAGCTTTTTGGATAAAAAAAATTTAGTCTATCCAAATTACAATCTTTTTACTCTATGGTTTAATTAAAAATCTATTTGTTTTTAATTTTCGGATTTTAATTATACGCGGGCGGAGCCGCGGGTAAAAGCTAGTGAATACTATTTTTGACCATAACAATATACAACTGCCGTGTGGTGGCGACGTAAGGGCAGGCATTACCTAATTTCTTCCCGTGAGTGACGTAAGAGGTGACTATGTGAATGCCAAAATAATATATTTTAAGCGGTAGAGCCATGCTGCAGCTATATTAATAGTATAGTTGTAGCACAAATGGGTCGGCGCGACCGGGGAACGACCACGCTGTCACAGAATACCAGCGTCAAATAGCAGCTTAACACTGCTGCTGTTTCGTATGGTGAGTGTAGAGCACCGGAGTGTGCGGTTAAACGTCGATAAATGCAATTTCAGATTTATTGATTTGTCATAAGACTCAAATTATATGCAACAAATTTCAAAGGAAGTTAGACGCGGGTGCTGACGAGCATGGCGTGTGCGTAGCGGGTGCGCGTCGTGGGAACGCGCCCTTATCCTCAATAAAGAATCAAAATGCAGATGCGTCGTCACCCGTGAAGACTAAGATGGCCTTATTTTATCACAGCCATTCACGAGTCCACAGTCGGGTGCGTGTCGTGGGAACGCGCCCTAAATGTAGATGTCTATGGGTCACAGAAACCACTTACCATCAGGTGGACTGTGTGCTCGTTTGTCACCCTATCCTACACGAATAACTACTACACATTAAATACAAGTAAATTTGAAGGATATTATCTTGTTGAATTTAACTTGTTTTTGTTTATCCCCCCCCCCCCCTTGCTTGTCCAATCCAAAAAACATTATCCTCCTTTTGGGGTAAAAATATATTCTTTACCTATATAACAAGATACAGATTTTTCAAATGCTAGGAACTTCGACATCGTATTTCACTTGGTTCGTGGTTAAACGATAGTCATTTGACCACATAAGATATCGAAGTTGTTTTCAGTCAGTACTCATTCATTCGTTCATTCACAGCCTACCTGCCCATCTGCTCGGCAATCGACATGAAACGGTGGGAGAAGACACTCAATTGCACCGAGTCAAGATCAGCCGTAACTTTCTTGTTCCGACCGGATCCAACTGTAATGCGTATGTCACCGTACTTGGTGATCTCAGCCTGGCAAACTGATAATAAAGTAAAATATAATTAGATATCTATTTATCTTTCAACGCTTTTACGTCAATAAATTACGTTTAACAAATAGTAAAGTCGATTTCAAAGACCTAAAAAGAATAAAAATAGTTTGGGAAAATCCAAAAGTGCACGCCTCGTGAGCGATCATATAATTTTACAAGAATAAAATATACGGCGATAATTTTTACAAGAAAAACACAGAGAATCTGATCGACTTTCATTAATAACTTTTAAACGAGTTCAATAACAAATATCAATAGGATAATAAAGGAAAATATAATTACATATCTATTTATCTTACAACTATTTTACGACAATTACGTTTAATAAATAGTAAAGTCGATTTGAAAAACCTAAAAAGAATAAAAATAGTTTGGAAAACCCAAAAGTGCACGCCTCGTGAGCGTTTCAGTTAATTTTGATGAAAAAAATAAGAATAGTGACGATAATTTCTACAAGAAAAGAATAGAGTATCTGCTCGACTTTTTAAATTAATGATCGACTTTTAAACAGTGTTCAGTTAAATAACAAAAATCAATAGGGAACTCCTTGGAATATATGGAATCTTATTTAATACTAAATAATAATAATGTATATTTCATTCTTTTGTGTATATAGTTATATAGGTACACTAGAAACCGAACATCTTTTATTGGAACTCAACTTTTAACTTATAATGTGTAACAACTATTTTCACCTCAGTCTCTAATGGCGACATAAGATGAGCGATAAATTATTGAAGTTACGGCCTATATACGTCCCACTGCTGGGCACAGGCCTTCTCTTAATTCTGAGAGGGTTTTAGGGCAAAGAAATTTACGGCGCTGTCCCAATTTGGTTGGTGGTTGGCGAATTTCATGTTTTCGAAATACTTTTTTTCTTATTTCTGTCACATGCAGGTTTCCTCACGATGTTTTCCTGCACCGCCGAGCAGGTGATGTATCAGCATTTAAAATTGCAATTAACAATTTCATTGATGCCGGCGGGTATCAAACCCGGGTTGCTCGCGTACTATGATATTTACAGTGAGCGCTTACCTACCGTGGCTCATTTTCATCCTCATTAATGAAATCATCTATTTAAACGTATGCAAATGCCCCGGTCAGCGATCAAAATGCTCGTAGATACAATACCTGGTTCAACGAGAATAGTCGAAAGACTGTCCATAATAATGGCAGGTCCGAGTATCACTTGATCAGGCATCAGATTATCTAACAGATAAATTGCCGTGTCCTGGTATCCGCCTTCGTAGTATACTTTCACAGTCTGTAATAAACAAATGTAGTTTTATGATAGCCTGGTACTTTATTTTTCTTTATATGCTCTGACCTACACTGACTTTTATCTACAAATTATGTTTCTAGTGGCGGTGTAAGAACATCTACTACCCCATAACGTGCCGTGCGTGTCGTAATAAGCAACGGAGAAAAACTTAAACAGGAGATGGGCAGCAGCATCTTTATTACAACTTAAAATCATTAAAAACTGTGGTTGCCAACCTGCCTGCAGCGTGGCAATTATGGTTAAATCTGATATTACGAAATCTATGGGGGAGGCCTATGTTCAGCAGTGGATTTTTATAGGCTGTAGTGTATGGATGGATGGTTAAGAGGATTAGATGTAGGCTCGGATGCAGTGTAAAAGAGACGGGTACAATACAATCAGGAGATAACAACACAACTAATCCAGAAAACCAGCAATATTCGTGTTTCGTTTCCATTCGTGTATCAACAAATGTTGGTTTAGGCTGGGATCCGAACTTAATGTCCGTGGCGTAGTAGCCAAGTACTGCAACACCTTGGCGACGAAGTAGTCAAATTATACTAGCTCTATTAGTTTTCATATTCGAACATTACAGAAAAGTTAACTACCTAACTCAGACAAATAAAGAACTTAGACGCACATAAATTTCAAGTGTTGTCGAATACATGCTCAATGTCTCTTGACATTGAGCATGTTTTCGAAAAAAAGAAAGGTGTGTGCACTTACGCACAAACCTTTCTTTTTCCTTTCTTCATTAGCCCGTGAAACACTATGTTGTTGGTTGCAAATGCTTTTGACATGATCTTCCGATCTTACAAAACGTTGAGCATGGTTTTGCCTTGGTTTATGCGTTACTAAAAATGGGCACTTCACCTTTCGTTTTTTGTTAAAAGAGAAAGACGGGTGTTGTTTCTGTGTCTAAGAAAGTACATTTTCTTCGTTCGGCACATCCGGTGTGCCCTAAGTCCATTAAAAATGAAAGTGGCAAAACTTCATCTCTTAATGATAGCAAAAATAAAAAATACTAAACATCGAATAAATTTTTTTTTACTGATTTTATCGTGTTTTACTTATTTTTAATTCCCAATGTTTCAGGTGGTACAACTATGCTCACGAGGGGACTGACGTGTTCCACGTCCCGATGTCAAAGTTAGCCCGAAGTACCTTCAGCTTTTTTTATCAATTTTGGTCATAACATTTTACGTAATATAGTTGCCAACCTTAACAAACATATTACCTTTACGTGTTAAAAATACATAACAAGAATTTAAAAAATTTACTTTCTCAGGAATGGGTTTAATGCCCTTTCCGCTGGGTGGCGCCACTTCCTCTTCAATCTTACTCATGCCAACTCCGCGAACTCGTACGTCGTCTACTAATACATCCCTTTCGGTCAATGTGAAGCCGAACTCATTCTTATACCTATAACAGTAAAGCTTAAATTATCATGAACCTTACAGCAGTTATATTTTATTATAAAACTAGCTGGTACCCGTCGCGTCGCTGCCGCAAAAGAAATAATTGCAGAAATATCGTTTTAAATTTGGAAGAGTTATTTTTTTTACTTATTATAAGCACTGGCTTGACTACAATCCCACCTGGTGGTAAGAGGTGATGCAGCCTTAGATGGTAAATCGCAGTCTTAGCGTAACAAAAGCCTATTCACTCTTGCCTTGAAAACGCCCAGATTGTATTCGGACGGAAAGATAGACGCCGGCAAATTATTCCACTGCTTTGCTATGCGCATTACAAAAGACGAAGCAAACCGTTTGGTTCTTATATGTGGAATATCGACAACAAAGGGGTGAAGACCCGCCGACCGCCTGGTTGTCCGATGGTGGAAAGGAGAGAGAGAGGAATTAAAGCGTGTAATTCCTGCGCACACTAACCGGAAATAGAGTACCGAGAGACTGAAATACTCTGCGCCTGTGCTCGAGGCTGACAAGATTGGTTTCAACCAAATCAAGGTCACCAATGAGCCTCTTAGCACGTCACTCCACTGAGTCCAACGCTGCCAGGTGGCATTTTGCAGTACCAGCCCATATGTGACAGCAGTACTCTTCATGCAAGACTGAACTTGCGCTTTATATAAGGTAAGAAGCTTCCCCGGCGTGAAGTACCGCCGCACCCTTGCAAGGACACCAAGTTTCCTTGCGGCAGCTTTGGCTCTGTAACCATAGTTGAGGTTCGGAGAAAATTAAACCCCTAACAACTGAAGGCGGTCAGTGTACTCCAAGGATACATTCCGGAAAGTAGGAGCCAAGGTGAGCGGGCTCCTATTAGCGGTGAAAAAATACGCTTGTGTTTTGGAGGTGTTAAAAATCACGAGATTGGCATCGCCCCATTCGGAGACTGCCTGTAGTGTGAGACTTACACGCTTAACCATAGCCTCCACAGTACCGAATGAGTTGAGTAGCCATCGACGACGACCCGGAGAGACCGTTCACTCAGAAAGTCCTTCGCCCAGACAATCAGGCCAGGGCATAAGCCGTACGCTGAAAGCTTGCCCAATAGACTAGCGTGCCAAACCCTGTCAAAGGCCTTAGAAACATCGAAGGAAACAGCAAGTGCTTTACCGCTGTTTTCAAGGGCTTCACCCCATATGTCAGTGGCATATGCTAGAAGGTCCCCAGTTGATCGATTTCGGCGAAACCTGTACTGACGATCACTGAGATCATTTTGCTTTATATAGAGCATATCGAGCGTATATTTGGGCGTTCAATATACGCTCCATAATCTTGAAGAGCAACGAGGTAATTGAAATTGGCCGATAGTAGGCAGGGTCGGTACGGCTACCTTTTTTAGGTACAGGCTGCACATTGGCCAGCTTCCAAGATATCGGCACTAGTTATTCCAATCCTAAATGAGAGACGGAACAAGCGTGTCAACACAGGAGACAACTCAGGTGCGCAGAAATTTAGAAATATAGCTGGTATACTATCAAGTCCACTAGCTTTGTTCACGTCTAGACTTCGCAAGGTTTTAAGAACCTCCTTGTTAGTGATACAGACCTCTGACATAGAGGTAACGCAGTGAGGTAATTGAGATGGTACACTGTTGCTACTATCCAGACGCGAATTGCAAGCAAAAAGAGAAGCAAATAAGTCCGCTTTCTCCTTAGGCGCATGCGCCAGTGAGCCATCTGGTTTTGATTCTGGACTGAAATTCTACTGCCAGATGGTTTGACAGAGAGCTTTGTACCGATACGTCTAATGCGTTCAAAACTGGCTTGGCGCAATGCTTTTTTGCAGAACTTGGCGGCTTGGTTAAAGGCTCTCTTCTTAAGGCTAACATTCGGAGCTTTGCGGTCTCGAGCATCGCCCAGGATAAGTACGCCATATGCTTGTGCTTTTCAGCACGAGGCGCACTCGGCGTTGAACCATGGGCGAGCTTTACCATGAATGGACACATCAGCAAAGGGGATGTAATATCTATCCATTCAGACGAGAAGCAGACTTGCCGCTAAGGATAAGATGCAAAGAAATGCCGCATCTCATCCCAATCTGCTGACTTGTATCGCCACACTCGCAGAACACGGTGGAAATCGTAGTTCGGTGGGGAATATAGCGACACAGATTTCACCAGACAGTGGTCAGAAGTTTCCAAGGGTGAGGCAACCTGAACATCGCACCTGTCTGGATCGGTCGTGAGCAGAAGGTCGAGGCAGTTGGCTGTGTGCCCATCCACATCAGGTACCATAGTCGCTTGTTGTACTAGCTGGGAGAGCCCTTGCGACAAGGCAAAACGTCTCTCCCAGCGTGGTCGGTTTTCTGGTATGAAAATAGTCATTCCTTATCACAGGCATTAAAGTCCCCCAGGAAAACCAACTGTGCATTATGGTACTAATTTAGAGCCACATCAGAGGCTTCACTGAGGTGTTCAAACCAGCCTAATTGTCTCCTGGTCACCACTGTGCGATCGGTAGACACAAAAATAAATTATTTTATCCATTCCTGTCTAGAGGAATCCAGATCGTAATTATGCTCCAATGTGTACCCAGGGTAGCCAAGGTACGCCGCATTTAGAGGACATCTGATCTGCCTCTCAGTCAAGAAGAGTAAGTGCGGCTTGTCAGTCTCAAGGTGGTAGTGGCCTGCATTGAGATTACAGTGCAGACCTTGGATGTTTGTGAGATGCACTTTGGCATTGTTTAACTAGCTGATACCCGCGACTTCTTCCGCGTTGCTTGATATATTAACAAACTTTTCGTATGTGCGAAGGAAAAAACATCAAAAAGATCGCAAGCAAAAATATTCTTTGCTTACAATATCTTTGTTTCCTAAAACTTTAATAACTTTAATTTTAACTTCAATAAATTAAGATATGGCAATATTTTTTTTCTATATAAAGGCCAAGTGTCTAAGAAATAAAACCTAATTGAAATCTATCCAGTAGGTTTTTCGTGTTGCGCGCACAGCTGCAAACCTCTATCATTTTATTTATATAGATTACTCGTAGGAATGATAATACATTCACTGTAATCCGGAGAATAAGAGGATTGTGAAAGACCCCCCCCCCCCTCCTTCACTGATGTTTGTGTCAATTAGAAGCAGTAAAACCACAAACAATTTTTTTAATTAAAATAAAAAATTTTAATATTCAAGTTTACAAATATATTTCTTTACGTTTGAATACTGACTCTGATAACGCACTTAAAGGGAACCACAGGGTTTTTGTTACACGTTGTAAATATAATTTTCAAAAAATTTGTTGGTACGAGGCGGGCCAGACCGCCTACTGTAAGTTAATTGCACTATGCCTATAAGCTTCGCGGAAGTGCAAGCAATAAGTTGACAAGGTTTAACCGCAATCTGATGAACGCGGTATAGCAGCGCATAAAATACGAACAATTTTTACGAAATATTCCAAATATGCTAATATATATAATATATCTTTATATTTATATTGATTTTAATATCAATAGAAATTTAACAAGATTATAAATGCTGATTGCAAATTTTTCAATAAAATAATATTACTTCATAGGTTCAAAAAAGTTGTTATTTATGTACACGTTTTTATAGTAGCAACCTGCATTTACTAGATATAAATATAGGTCACTATGTCATAAATCCTAAGTATATTTTTACCTATTTACAAACGCTGTGTAAAAGTCGCCATGTCGGCACGACGTAGCCGATTTAGTGTCCATAATGGGAGGTACCATCAATGCACAATCAGTTCCAGCATAACGTAAATGCAAGTAAGGTTCTAGAACGATCTGTGCGTCGTCGAAGCCCTGAAAACAATATTATTAAAATAATTTTGTGTGAACATTAGAAACAAACATAGGCAGTTACTCAACTCCACTCCACAGATTCAGTAATTCATTTATGACGTGATGTATTAATAAAGTCCCAGAAAATATAAGAGTTCTCTCTAATACAAGTTGAAATATTTTATTAATAAAACCTGTATAAAAAGGGTTATAATAAATTACCCCTTTGAATGAGGTGATCGCTTCCAAGCTGCTTCTTAAATAAGTTTTGGTAGTAGTTTTACATTAGTAAAACCTGTGTTTTTATTGTGTAATTTTTCTTTGAAAAAAAATTCCCACTGAGACTGGTTCTTCTCAGGACAGAGAAGTAAAAAAATGGTTTTCAATAAGAATTACGTGTTACTTATTAATTAATTATCTATATTGAATAAGAAAAAATATTCTTTTTTAAATAAAAATAATAATTAGTGTTACTACACGCAAACTAGACTTTACAAATTATTAGATTTTTTTTTGTGTAATTGGTAAATATTCCTACAAATCTGCGGAGTACTCGGGAACTTCCCGAAAAAACCTAGCGATTAGCGATTTGGAATATCCAATTTAAACGTCGTGGAATTTTTTTTCCTTAAAGGCATTATTACTCATTCCGAAAGTAATAAAAAATCTTAATATATTTTATTTTATAAAACTGAGGTGTCAAACGAACTTACAGTCTGTCTGATGGTAAGTGGCTACTGCATGGACAGCTGCAGCCATTTTCAAACAAAGAAGGGTAAAGATGCGTTGACAGCTCTGACTAGACTATGGTGCAATGCCTTACAGACTGGAATCATACTGACTCTTTATACCATTCAGACCGAAACACAGCAGTACAAGCATTATTATAAGTAGCTGCACGAAAGTCTAGCGGTAACCGTTTTTGCGCATAAGTTGCGCTGATTGGCTTATTGTGCATAAGTCGTGCAGATTGGCTCGTGCGTATCGTTCGCACGCGCTGATTGGTTTTTCAATAGCATTCGTGCAATTCAATTCAAGCGCGTCCCCTCCACGTTTCATTCCGTGCTAGAAATACGTGCCACGACTTATATTTGTGTGGCCGAAATAGGTTTTGAAGATGGTGTCTACCCAGAAAGACTCCTGTCAGATGAGTATTTCTACTCCCTGGGAACTATATTTAGCACATTATATATTTAACTCTACACACCTGAGCATGAAGCTTATCCCTGCAGACCGCAGCCAATACGTCAAGTTGCTCATCGAGTCTTTCAAACTGGTCCGGACAGTAAACAGCCGCGCATGGCTTTTGTGCTTCGTGTACCACGTGGGCGAGGGCCATACCATATGCCGATAGGATGCCTGAGTGAGTGAAATTACTTCTTTATTTTTTTTTAATAGGATAAGAGTAACGAACAAACACACAGTCCACCTGATGGTGAATGCTGTGGCTAAATGCAGATGCGATCACTCCTGACCCATTTCATCTAGAATAAATTGTTAATGACGAAGATAGAATAACGCTTTATACGTGGTAGAGCCATGCTGCAGCTATATTATGGTTGTAGCAGTAATGGATCGACTTGCCCCGTAAGTACCACACGATCCAGCGTTAAATACCAGCGTTGAATATTAGCTTAATGCTGTTTCATATGAAAGAACCGGATATCCATATTACTGGAAAGGAGGCATTGCATCTTAGTCCTCACTGCAACAACGCATCTGTATTTTGGTTTTTGATCGAGAACAAATGTAGATGTCAATGGGCCACAGCATCCACATACCATTAGGTCGATTGTATATGCATTTGTCACCCTTATTCTATAAAAATCATTATTAACAATTTATACGTGGTAGAGACATTCACGAGTGAACGGCTCGATCGGGGTAGAACCACGCTCTCGCAGAATACCAGCGTGAAATAGCAGCTTAATGTTGTTTTGTATGAAATATCTGGTGACATCTTAGAACACCCTCGTAACTATATGCCATGATGATATCTATATTATTAGCTGATGGAATATTTCGTACTTATACCTTTTTGAAATCCCTAGACTGACGACGGAGAGTAAGGCGCGGGAGACTGCGAACGCTACTCGTAAATTACCCGCCAATATTGTTCATAAGGCAAATTCTCTTAAAAGAGAGAGATCCATATCCAAACTATTAAGAAGTTAAGGAGAAAGAATTATCATTATAGACTGTAGGGCCAAAGCAGATGCAAGAAGTTAGGTGTCCTTGCAAAAGTGTGACAGTATTTCACACCGGGACCCACAATTGCTTACACTATATAAAGCGCAAGTTTAGTCGTGAATGGAGTATTTCAGCCATATATGGGCACTTGCTGCAAAGTGTATCCTAGCGGCTTTGGACTTAATGGAAAGACGTTTTTTTTTATAGGATAAGGGTGACAAACGAGCACACAGTCCACCTGATGGTAAGTGGTTGCTGCGGCCCATAGACATCTACATCTATCCTCTGTTACAAATCAAAATGTAGATGCGTTGTCACCCGTGAGGACTAAGATGGAATGCCTCATTTCCAGTAAAAAGGGCCTCCGGCCACCTGCACTCACCAAGCGAAACGCAGAGGTAAACCTCTACTTCACGCTGGTTTTCTGTGAGGTCGTGGTACTACCCCGGTTCGAGCCGGCCCATCCGTGCGACAGCAAAAGCTGCCGCGTGGCTCTACCACTGTGTGAAAGACGTGCTAAGAAACTTATTGTTGACACCAATATAGTTAGAACCAATGTTACCAGTCTCGAGCACAGGCGCAAAATAACCAGACTATTGGTGTTTTACAGGATAGGTACATTTCGGTGAGTGTGCGAAGGAATTTCATGACTTAATTCCTCCCTATCCTTCCATCATCAAAGCACCAGACGCTCGGATGGACTCCACCCATTTTTGTCGACTAATATAATGCAATCAAACTAAACGGTTTGCTTCTTTTTTTAGGGTAGATTAAGGGTGGAAAACGAGCACACAGTCCACATCTGTCTCCGATTACGAATCAAAATGCAGATGCGTTGTCACCCGTGACGACTAAGTTCTATCTTACCTCATTTCCAGTAAAAAAAGGGTCTCCGGCTCTCTACACTCACCATACGAAACACATTATGTTGCTATTTTACGCTGGTATTCTGTGAGAGCGTGGTCCTTCACCGGTAGAGCCGATCCATTCGTGCTACAACTATACCTACTACTAATATAGCTGCAGCATGGCTCTACCACGTAAAAAAACGACGTTATATAAATAACTTATTTTTTAGCAATTTGAAGTCGGTTCTTACATTTTGTTAAAGTTACAATTATACTACTAAAGAGTACATGATTGATAATAACCCCAGGGAATGAGGTGATCGCTACCATCTTGTATCCAATTATTTTCATACTTAATTATATATTATATTGTAAATTAATGCTTAAAAAAGTCTCGCTGGGTTTCTTGCTGGCTCTTACCCGGGCAGAGGTTTTTTCCGATGCAGTGGTAAAATTTAAAAGATTTTCAATAAATATTGTGTAATCTATATTGAATGAAATGATTCTATAATGATTTCTTATATTTACGCGAAAACTACACATTGAATAAAACTAATTTTTTTACGGATTTTATCGCGTTTAATTAACTTATTTTATATTCCCGACATTTCAGTTGCTTTCCAGCAACCATGGTCACGGGTGACTGAGGTGACTGACGTCCCGATGTCAGAGTCAACCTGGAGTACCTTCAGCTTTTTAACTATTAATTTTGGTCCGATCTACGCAGAACGAACTTACTCAGTCTTATTCCAAAAAATGTTTTAGTACTGGGTTAAGTTTAGGAGTAAGAAGTCCAGGTTTGTTACAATATTCTAGTTAATACCAGCACTAAAACGTGTGCTTATTACAAAACGCAGACTACCCGAGGACCAGTTAATACCAACGTTAGTATTATATTAAATATCATTCACAGATAAAAAACAAAAAATGACACTCTATCATTCGTTCATACAGGTTTCATTCAATGCAACGTTCGGTTTCATAAAATATTAATATTATTTTCACATTTAATTATGCTTAAATAATTATCCATCAATACAAAAACATATCATACATTGTTATTTGTTTACGTTAAAATCTATTGAACAAGCACGACATATACTTTTGACGCGCTTTTGATTATATCAAGTTGTTTTCAGTTTAACAACTCTAGCGTGAAATGTAGTGAATTACAGAGGTAACGCGAGCGCGGGATTCGAGACGTTCAAAATAGTTTATATTGCAGCCTTATAATAAGTAAATTAAATTATTAATAATTAATTAAGTACTTGCTATTACAATTATATTTATATAATAATGGAACAAAAGAAAAAACGGGGTGAAAATTGGAGTTCTGAAGAAAAAGTTAGTGAAATATCGAAATTTATTTGTCAGTACGTAGCAATACTCTTATCCTCCTATTATCCTTATTTCAACTAAAAGGAATGTTCTTATTATTATAGGAAATATTACGTACACTTATTTCACAATCAGCACATATAATAGAGAATAAGTCGACAAAAACATCGGTAAATATTCAAAAAATAAAAGAGTGGAAGAATATAACTAATAAGTAAGTACTTATCGCATTTGTTATGTGTACAAATAGGTACGGTATTGTTTACGTGATTTCGTATTATTTTTTTTAGATTTAATGAGCTAACAGGTAAACGCCGATCAGATGGTGAATTGAAATTATCTTGGAAAAGAATGAAGTTGTGTGCTAAATCAAACTTATACACATATAGGAGGGAACAATCAAAGACCGGGGGTGGCGGAAAACCTCCATCACCTTCTCTTGAGGACTTGGAAATAATGTCCATTGCCCCTCAAGACTTTATCGTTGAAGTTAATAATTATGATAGTGATGCAGTGGTAAATAAAATTACTTACATGTCTTACAAATTTAATTAAAATTAAAGAACTTTATTTTCCATTACTTTAGTACCTAGGTAGTGCTCTGAAATCTACTCTTAAAGCATACAATTTACAATCCAAAATTATTTTCCGAATATTCAAAATTTAATATACTTAGTAACAATTTAACATAAATTCCTTTATAATTAATTATATTCAAAATTGAAATGTCACAAATTCATATATAGTGGTCTATATAATATCATAACACACATTTTACTAGATTATCTACACAGTCCGATTATAATTTTCTATTAGGTATTATAATTAATAATTTATTAAATTACCTTTTGTCTTGGATCATAATAATATTTCTACAACATAGAAAATACCTGATTCAATAAAGGGCAAAATAGAGATGACAGGTGACAGGAAAACATGTTAATAAATGTTTTAATGATTTATTTTAGGATCCAGTGACTGTGGCTACAACATCAAAAGAAGTTGCTGACCCTAAGCCTCGCCTTAATTTTGAAAAAACAGACACAGCTATAGTTAAAAATGTAGAAAATCCAGAACCCAATGTTGTATATGTGCAAGGTAAATAATACTGATTGAATATTTATTAAAAAGCAAAATATATTATTATTATAGTTACAATCATATGCATACAAGTTTGTAAATATTATAAATGTTAATTTTCTAAAACTGTTATATTTATATTAATTTTTAGAGATAGATCCAACTACAAATACAGAAGAAAGTGCCAAAATGGTGAAAATAACCAACAATAAAGATATTATTACTAGGGGTATAACAAAAATTAAAAACAGGAAAAATAGCTTGCAAAATAGGTATGTTGAAAAAATTACATAGTCTGATACATTACATACTTTTTAAAATGTGAAAATTAGTATTTAAACACTGAAAATTGTTTCATGTTTTCAAATATTAAAAGCAAAGTTTAATATGAATTGATTTAAAAATAATTAAAAAATATTTCTTTAATTGGTGTACAAGGTTAAGTGCACTTTTATTACTCTAGAATACTTTGTAAATTTCTAAAATAACTACAAAACTTACATTAAGTATTCCATTTCATTTTACAGAAGAGAAGATGTACACCAAACAATTGTAAAAAGTAACACAGATTTTAAAAAAAGACAACTGGAAATGATGGAAGAGGAACATAAATACAATATTAAAATAGCTAACCTAAAAATTAGAAAATTAGAGTTACAAATATTTTTATTAGAAAGTCAGAAAAACACAAGTTAAATAGCAGCTTAATGCTGCTGTGTTTATTATGGTGAGTTTATAGAATGAGAATAGAATAGAATGATTTTTATTAAATATAGATTATTACAGAATACTTATTGAAAGACATTTTTTATTTACCACTGGTTCGGAAAATACCTCAGTCCTGGGAAGAACTAGTAAGAAACCCAGCGGGACTTTTTTATAAACATATTTCTCTTAACAATAATTTTATTTGTACAATTTTTAAATGAATTTTAATAGAACCACCATGGTGGCGATCACCTCAATTCCAGTATTTCCAATATTCTCATTTATGTATTCTTTGATATTATAATAACCTTTTTATAAAATTTTTCTTTAATAAAACATTTAAACTTGTTTATTGACAAATTTTGGATAAATTTTTGTACAAATTTTGTATGAGAGAGACCTCTTTTACAGGAAACGAGGCATTCCATCTTACTCCACACGGGTGACAACGCATCTGCATTTTGATTTGTAGTCGAGGATAGATGTGGACGTCTATGCACCACAGCAGTTACTTAACATCAGATGGACTGTGTGTGTGTATGTGTGTGTGGTAGACTGTGTTTTATCACCATTATCCTATAAAAAAACTAAATATTTAAGACTATATCAGATACATGTTTGTAAATATCCTCATATATGAAACAATTATTTTCAGGTACTAAATTGCTGCAAATATTTGTACATCTTTTATTAATAATTAAAATAAATAATTATAATTAATATGCATTTTATTTACATAACAGTGAAATATAATATACAATAGTAAAAAACTATAATAAAAAAAACTAAACCTAATTACTTAGTCATCATACAGTCCTACTCCCCGTGGACCCGTGCACCTCTGGAAAGGAAATCCGGCTGTGAATGTAGAGGAGGGACGATATTTATTAAAAAATCTAAACATATCTCTAAAGCACTTAAATCTTTATATAATATAGCTTCATATTGATGTGGAATGTGCTGTACCCCGCATCTTTCCCTGAAACACAATCATTTATAGCCTAAATAAAAGCATTTTGCTCAATAAATGAAATATTATCACAATACTACCCTGAATTTATTTCATATTGGTGAATATGTAGTCGTTATTCTTTGACAGCTGACAACGGCTCTGCAGAAATATTTTCCTTTATAAATGGGTATTATCTCTGAAATCAAAAAGAAATATTATTATAATTGTCTTATACATTTATTGATCCTTAATGTAATTTTATAGCCAAAATTGGCCTCTGAATAACAAAATAAAATAAATTATATATACATAGCTTTAGACAATTGAAAAAAAATTGACAATTTTATAAATATAATTATTAATTTTAATTATAAATAGCTATATAAATATGTAAAAAAAAAATGTTTACCTACTGAAAATGAGTTTCAATAAACTGTCTTCTTCTAATATTTCCCCTTATTGATGGTGCAATATATCTTTGTACTATAGGTTCAGATGAATATTGTTCAATGCTATCTCTCTCACCAGGAAACACATCTTCTCTCATGTCGATGGCCATATTGTGTAGTACAGCACATGCAACAATTGTTTTTTTTGCTGTTTCAATATCTCCAAACATACCTCTTAATAGGCAACGAAACCGTTGCTTCCACAAACCAAAACATCTTTCCACTGTGTTCCTGGTACAGATATGGCTCCTATTATATCTTTCTTCTTGTGGTGTTGTGGGGTTCAGCAGCGGTGTAAATAGGTAAGGGGTACAAGCATAGCCACTGTCACCAAGTAATATTCCAGAGAATGCACCAGCCTCAAACCTCTGTTTTAGTCTACATTCTCGGAATATTCTGGAGTCATGTACACTACCACGCCACCTGGTAACAATGTCCATGATTTTCAGGTCAGCGTCACAAACCACCTGTAAAATAAGAGCTCATTAGTACTTTATGTTTTTCTGGTTTATTTTAATATATATTTATTACCATAAGATAGTCAAACAAATTATTTTCTATTATGATAAAGTAAAGTTATTAAGAGACAATCACAGCTATTTAAAATATTTGTATATTACCTGTACATTAATTGAAGAAAATCCTTTTCTATTAATATATAACTGACCCCCATCAGCATTCACTTTCTTTACTCGTATGTGAGTACAGTCAATTGCGCCAATTACTGTAGGAAAATTAGCAATACTGCGAAATTTCCTAATGGTTTCCTGCTGTTCATTTAAAGTAGTAGGCATTTTAATAAATTCTCAGGGCTTCCGTGACAAAATTTCCGCTACTTTTTTACATGTCCTACTTACTACTGGTTGAGACACACCATGTAAATCAGCTGTATCGTCTTGAATCTACGAATAAAACAATAATATGTATTATTTGGCTTTTTATCTAGCGTAATGTTAGGTACATTGACCCCACCAAGATTATAAACAGCACTTACTTCATGGCGAGCCCAGTTGCGTAATGCACAAACCACTTGAATTTCAGGACTCAATGGGCATCCTCGAGGGTCGTGCACTAAATCCTCACGTAAGATACCCACTATTTTTTCTCCGAAACGTTTTGAGAACCTATACTTATACCTAAAATCTTCGTCACTCAATTCAAACGGATTCACACGATGTCGATGTCTATCAGGTCGCCGAGTGGTGTCTAGCATGTCCAAATCTTCTAAATCCATCAAGTCAATCATGTTAATATCCATTTTTAACGATTTTAATAACACCAAATGAAAACAACGCTCACCTCAAATTAAGAAGTACCGAAATTGAGGTTAGTATAGAGTACCACAAACTATATAGAAAGGTTAGTACCATAGCTAAACTAGGGGTCTCGAAAGATTAACTTTAATACCATAGATAATCCTTGAACCAGAGATAATCTTCGTTTTGTAATAACGTTTTTCTTAGTTTATGGTTTAAATATATTACTAACTCCAGTACTATATTAAGTCCGTGTTTTGGAATAAGGCGGACTGTGTCTAGAAGTCTTGCAGTGGTATGCTTGGGTTTAGTTTTAATTTTATGAATTATAGGATCCCAAGCAGGTGGTAGTACTCAGCCTCCCTCCCTCTCTATTGAAATTAGGATGTTTTTTAATTTCAATAGCCTCACGTAACATCCTTGGCAGGAATCGATGTTCTTTCGCGAGAATTTTTGGTTTATCAAATCTAATGTAATGGCGGGGGCTGTCTAGTATATGACCATAAACTGCAGACTTCCCGGAACGTTGGTGCTTCATGTCAGCTATGTGTCAACACAAGTTCATTCTGCATAGATCGGACCAAAATTAATAATTAAAAAGCTGAATGTACTCCGGGTTAACTCTGACATCGGGACGTCAGTCACCTCAATCCCCCGTGACCATGGTTGCTGGAAAGCAACCGAAACGTCGGGAATATAAAATAAGTTAATTAAAAGCGATAAAATCCGTAAAAAATTAGTTTTATTCAAAATGATTCTATTCTATTTTATTATATAGATGTGTAGTTGCAACACCAAACTGTATCCTCTGATTTTGTTATCATCATTTTTCTGAATTGCCTCGCAATATGGAAGCTTTAAAGATACATTCACTTGTCAATAAATAGACAACTAACCGGCATATTTATGCAGAAGCACTGTGGATATGCCGAGTTGGTTCGCGACGGCGCACGCGTGCTGGCCGCCCGCTCCGCCGAAACACGCCAGCGCGTGCGCCGACGAGTCGTAACCTCGGGCTGTTGTTAACGCTCTAAACACAACAAACAAAAATATTATAACCTCATAATTATAACAAATCAACAAATCTATATCTATACATATAAATAAAACTGAAGTGTCCGTCTGTAATATCGAAATAACTACCTTATATTGTGCTGAAGGGTTTATTTAGTTCAAAAAGGCGGAGGTTCAAAATGCGTCGGAATCTTTTTTTTTTGTATGTTCACCGATTACTCGAAGACGTCTAAACCGATTGGGAAAATTCTTTTGTTGTTTCAAAGAGTATACTTCCCAGGTGGTCTCATTTAAATTTTATCGAAATCGCTCAAACGGTTTAAAAAAAAAACAGTAAATTACAGATGAATGTCTCAAAAACACGCATTGTAAGAAGCCATTTGCAATTTCTTTTATGTCATTTGTTTGTCACATTGCGAAGTCCGCGAGCTCGTAATTAATAGCTGACGGCAAAGGGTGGGGCCAGAGTGTACGCTTTCTAGGTGTTATTTTAACTATTATTTTTTATTTATGAACAAATTTAAAATATTATCAATGTTTTGTGTAATATGGGAAATGTGGGTTTCATAAGAATGATCTTTTATTAAAAAATAAAGTTTAATACAGATTTGAATAATCACAGTGGTTTAAACAATTTATACAGTATGTAACAAACAATCCGTTGGTCGTTTCAGGGAGGTATAGGTGTACTATGAATGGGATTTTAGCGTTTCTAATCTAATAACTAACTAAATTTATTATTTCTAAAACTGTTATTTGCATCTGAACTAAACGACAAGTGCCGACATACCTAATATTTAATACGTTCATATTTATTTTGTATTATAAATTATCTTACAAAAATCATTTTACGAAATCACTTAACGAGAAAAAATCTTAGTTCCTCAACGTAGATGACGATGTTTTGAAGTGTTCTAAGAGTTTCTAAAATTATGCTGAGATCAAATATACATAGTTTATTCATTCATTACGATCTATCAAAGTCAACTACTGAACATAAGTCTACCCAACGGAAAACCTCATAAGGGGGTAGTTTTCATAGATTCCACTTTTGCCAGGCGGATTGACAGCCGCATTTTTTTCTTTGGAACTAGTTGTTGTTAGGAAGATGCCGTTACCCATCTCCTTATTTCCATCTGCCTTTTACCACATCCACGAGATTATTTGGAGTAGTGAATATTCTTTCACAGTCAATACACATTTTATTAGATACTTATGTTGTAAACCACATTATTTCTAATTAGAGATTTGGGAAAAATATTTTAAAAAAAGGTTGTTTCAAGTATAAAATGTCGTGATTAATTTCAAACTTGCAACTATTTGTAGGAGAAATGTATTATGCATCTTTCATGTGAAACTTTATTCGATAAAGAATATGTAACAGAAATTATTTTTAAATAGATCAAAATTAAAATAATGTAATAAACAAAATAAAATTACTATAAAACAAGCGGTGTATCGCACGCTCCTCAAGCTCAAACCCGCTACCCTCTCGTCATCGTTGGACTTTAGTATAGGAAAATCCCTAAAATTTACACGCACTTCAAATGATCGCAAAAGTGTCGTCTACTATACGCCAACTGACTTATTTTGAGCCTGTATGTTTTCATTAGTTACATATTTAAAAACATGAAAAGTTTAATAAACATAAAAAATTCTTTTATCTCACGTTTTAACCAAAACGATTTTCTAAAATAATAACGAATTGGCCTAGAGATTTAAAATAGAAAAGGCCGTTTTAACTGGTTTTACCATTGTTGAAGATTTTTTTTCGAAAATCAAGACGTTTTTATAAATATCACACGGTGAAAGTGTAGACCCATCTATTAACTAATTGAGATTTTTGTGATGTCATTCAATGAAGTCAGTTCTTTAATATTTTTAAAACCGTAACTGCCTATTTGCGCGTTTCTTAAGGACTGGCCTCTTAAGTATATCCATAGATTGCCTCATGGGAGAGGCGGGTTAATTTGCCATAATAACCACGCTTGGCAGGCGGGTTGGCAAAAGCAGCTCAAATTATTGTATAATATATATGATTAAATTTGAAATTAAATTCCTTTAATAAACATCTATTAGCCAAATGTATCACGAATAGCTCTTTTCACAGAGCCTACGTAGAGTGCAAAGAGCGGGCATAACGGAACCTTGTCGTATCGGCCCACTCCCGGGATGTTTACCGATAATAAGTTATTAGGATTCCTTTCGGAACTAGGATGGCTCCACTCGTAGTAATTTTTGCCTACACGCAAAATACGCCATTTAATATCGGAGTTGCGAAAACCATACCATGTTAAACTAAACTAAATTATGAAACTAATTACTTCTTACGAAGATAAGTAATTCATCATTATAATCGTGAATTTAGCAGATAATTGATTTAAATACATTTGAAATTATTTTTTCTACTAACGCATTCCTCCTTTATTTTTTCTTTATTTCTTTATTTCTCTATATTAAACATTACCTGATCGGCCGACACATAGCTTCGTTGGCGACATTGATAAAACCCATAGCAACTTCTTCCATGGTCATCTGGAAAAAAGTACTTTATTTATATATATTTAGAGGACTCACAAAATCTGTTACGTCAGTTTATCGAAAACCTAATTTAAACGAAGGGATAAAAACCTCCGATTTAGAAATAAAAAGCTCAAGACAGACCTTCAAATCCATAATATTCTAGCAATGAACTAAAGCTTCTGCATTAAAATAATTTAATATTGCAATATTTTACCGATAATTCCAATGGCTATAACTTATAACAGTAGTTTTAAAAAATTCAACTGTGTATAAAGGTCTATTGAGAGAGAAGAAATTAAATAATAAGACTAATTTAACGACATTCCATATGTTAAAATCCATCAAGCCGGCTACAGATCATACCAAAGATATACACTTACATACACTTGATAAACATTACCCTCTTTCTGGGGCAGTCGAGTAAAGACTTCTAAAAAGATGCTACAAAAGACAAGACACCTGAAGACTAACAACAGGCCATGTTACGGACAGCGAGAGACCCGCCGCCCCGTCGCCCCTTCGTTCCCCGTTACGTCCCGCGCACCCCGCACGCCGGCGCTGATCACGCGATATCGGGCAACCAATCAGCGCGCGTGCGGCGAAAATTGCCATCGGGCGGCTAACCCCACGAAATGAAGCGCTCTCATCGGAAATATAAGAAGGGCGCCTCGGACGGTCGTTGTTCATTCGGGTTCATTCGGATCATTCAGAAGCATTCAATCGGAAGCGGCAAGGAAGAATCAAGACAGAAGACTCCATACTGAAGACCTCCCTTTTGTATAGTGATTTAGTTAATAGTGCCGAACCCTTGTAAATAGTGAATATAGTATAATTAAAAGCAATTAAAAAAAGCAATAAAAAAAATTAAAGCAGTCCCCTAGTATAGCTAACCTCACACCGCCAGTTAAAATACCAAATACAGTCCACTACTCTCCAACCACTTTATCTTGGTCCATCGTCGCCGGATAGCAGCCAGAAGTAAGAAGAAACAAGAAAGAAGGCAGTTATAGAAGAAAGAACATAATTACAGAAGAGAGAAGATTATTATAGAAGATCTTCAAGGAAGAAAGAAGTTCGTCGACGAAGAGAGAAGATCGTCGGTACTAATTTCTTCCCCGTTTCTTGTTACGCCTACGTCATACGCGTCTATTGTCTGTTTCCAGACAATTTCTTGTTTCTTAACCGCGTTTACGCGGCCAGTGGTCACTCCCTAACGGTGCCAAACTGTGACCATCTGGTAACGCCCTTGTGGCGGGAACGACATCCATACGTGTGTCTTTTTAAAGACTGTACGTACGTCTTTTTGAAGACGACCGGAGGTCGCAACGTGGGACCATGAGGAAGACACGAAGCCAGAAGACACGGAACGATGATGACACGCCGGTAGGAATGCGCATATTCGAAGAAGCACCCGCGTCCCCGTCCGATTATCTCGCGATGGCACAAGCGCCCTCCGCCGCGCCCGCGCTCCAGGCCCCGCCCGCGCCCGCATCTACGCCCGCGCCCGCGCCCCCGCCGCCGCGCCCCGCTACGTCCGTGTCCACGACCGATCGTTTGGGAGAGGTTAGCATTTCCGCGCCGCGTACAGAGACACTCGCCGCGATTATAGAAGATCTTCCGTCTACAGAGATTAGTTCGATAGTACGTACCGTCGCGCCTGTAACAGACGTACATAGGCCCGCGCCCCGCGCCCCGTCGGTTCGCTCCGTTCGTTCAGCCCGGTCGACGGCTAGTGCGATAGCTAAATTAAAGCAAATTGAATATAACGCCGCGGAGGAACTAGCTGCAATTAGGAGGAAGCAATTGCAGTTGGAAGAAGATCTTATTAGGAAGAAGTACGCTAGGGACGTCGCGCAACTGCAAGAAGAAACAGATAGGGAAAGTGTCAACGAAGACGAGTTAGTTGAAAATAGGGTACGCGTTGATAGGTGGTTAGAGAACGTAGAGACTGTGCGGGGGGAGTCGCCTTCCCGCCCCTCTCAGCCCGCGCCCCGCATCGAGTTAGAGCAGACCCTACCGAACAGGGTAACCGGTTACGACCACAGTGAAGATGCCCAGGGGAGGACGGAAGCGAACAACGTTCAACCGCGCCGCATAGATTCGGTACAAAGGGAAGATGGAGTCGCCGCAGGAATGAACCAGGTGGATCGTCGTGTACGGGTAACGTCGCCGTCGCGCGTCCAACGCCGCACTCTATCGCCTACACATAGATCGCCACATCGCCACGCGGATCGTAGATCACCGTCGCCGCATAGGGATGTAGGCGTACGTAGATCGCCATCGCCACATCGCCGCGCGGATCGTAGATCACCGTCGCCGCATAGGGATGTAGGTGCGCATAGGACGCCAGCGCCACAGCATAGGCTAGAGAGAGATAGGGATAGAGATAGGTCGCTTACTCCGCGAGGAAAGGATAGGGGTATAGAGCGACTAGCGGAAGCTCTGGAGAATATGGTCAGAGTTAGGCCCGCTGCCGCGAAGCAGACGCAGGACTTGCCTATTTTTAACGGTTCGGCCGCGGAATGGTTAGCGTTCAAAGCCGCGATGAAAGAATCCACGCGTCTATATGGATTCACAGATACGGAAAATATGGCAAGGTTAAGAAATTGCTTACGCGGTGAAGCTAGGGAAGTAGTATCGGCACTGCTGTTTACCGCGAAGGATCCAGCAGATATTATGCGAACATTAGAGCAGTGTTTCGGCCGCCCAGAAGTAATTATCGATCGCGCGTTAGAAGAATTGAAACGCCTTCCGCGCCCGGGTCAAACCGCACAGGAACTAAATGCGTTCGCAATAAAGTTGCAAAATATCGTGTGCATTTTGCAAAACGTCGACGGCAAGGGATATCTGCAAAATCCAATGCTTACTAGGGAGGTAACGAGTAAGTTAAGCCCTCACTTACGGTCGCGTTGGTGTGATTATGCGGAGCACTACGGGAGTGCAGACGAGCCGGACATCGTTACACTGTCCAGGTTCATGATGAGAGAGGCTGATCGTGCGTTGAGTCATGCCTATACGTCCGTAGAGCCGACTAAGGAATCGCCCGTAAGACGAGAGGCGCCGCCGTCGAAGAGGATAGTGACACGCCGCGTAGAGAATAGGGCTCGCGACGTAAAAACGTTCACCGCACAGGAGGACACCGGTAGTGCCTCTTGTATGTGCTGCGGAGGTGAACACGCGATCGCAAAGTGTAGAAAGTTAGCGCAAATGGGTGTGGACGACCGGTGGAATTGGGTAAAAGAAGACGGGGTATGTTTTCTATGTTTAAACAGTAAACACCGACGGTTTAAATGTAAAGCAAAGAAATGCGGCATCGACGGCTGCAACGCCCCCCACCACGCCCTCCTTCACACCCGCAAGACCCGCGCACCTGAGACATCGGCCAAACCGGATGAGACCGTACTCGTCGCGTCTAACGTCGGTAGGAATGCATCCGTATTGTTGAAAGTGTGTCCCATTACGTTACGTGGACCACACGGTAAGGAAATAGACACGTACGCGTTGCTCGACGAAGGTTCGACTATTTCGTTGATCGATGACGACTTAGCGCGTGAGTTAGGAGCGGAAGGACCGGTAAAGCCGCTGAATATTAGGGGAATAAGCAATAGTCAGCGCGAGGCCGATAGCAGGCTAGTTAACATAGGCATACGTGGAAAATCGCGCAGCGAGATGTATAGAATAAATGCGCGTACAGTAACGAATTTACAGATAGGTTCGCAGTCGGTAAATAAAGAGTGTTTACGTCTAAAGCATTTACGCGACCTACCGAGCTCGGTTTGCTATGAGGACGCCAAACCGAGATTATTATTAGGAGCCGACAATTGGCATTTAATAATCACCCGTAACTTGAGGATAGGGCGTCGAAGGCAGCCTATAGCTGCACGTACGTTATTAGGATGGGTGATACAGGGAACCGTGCCGCGATTCACGTGTAGGGAGGACGGTGAAACCGTGTTACACGTCGTAAGCAGTAGCGGACGGATAGATAGGGACATCCGAACGTTCGCGAGTCAAGACGAGGAGATAACGGAACTCCTCAAACGGCAGTACGAGATCGATTCCATCGGTGTCTCGCTAAAGAATAGGCCGCGACGGGAAGAGGAACGCGCTGTCGAGATATTCCAGCGCACCGTCAAGAAGGTCGGCGATCAATACCAGGTGGGACTGCCATGGAAGGACGACGACGTGCGGATGCCTCCTAGCTACGAGATGGCTGCTAGAAGACTGCGGACGATCGAGAGGAAGATGGACAAATCGCCGGAAGTATCACGACTGCGGCTGCCTAGGTGCTATGCTCCTACGGGGGGAGTGGTAGAGCGTCAGCTCCACGTGTTCAGCGACGCAAGCGAACGTGCGTACGCATCCGCGGCGTATTGGCGATTACGATACCACGACGGAACGGTTAAGGTACGATTAGTGGCGGCCAAGGCGAAAGTCGCCCCGATAAAGGCGCAAAGCATACCACGGTTAGAATTGCAGGCGAATCTGATAGGCGCGCGACTCGCGGAATTCGTGCAAGGCGAGCACAGAGTGGTAGCCGATAGGGTAGTTTATTGGACAGACTCCACTACGGCGCTCCATTGGATTCAAAACGATACGGCGCGTTACACCCCATACGTAGCACATAGATTAGGGGAAATATCGGAGAAGACGTCACCCGAGCAATGGAGGTGGATACCGACCGCAGACAACATCGCGGATCAGGCAACGCGCATTAATTATACGTACAAGGAAGAGAGCGACAAATGGTTTACGGGACCGCCATTCCTGTACGAAGAGGAAGATCGATGGCCTCGACGACGGGAAGAGAAGGCAGGGGATGAAGATGACGAGATGGAGGAAGTCGTGGCGCACCAGAGCGACACCAGGGGCGCTCCACACCTGCCAGACATCGAGAGGTTCTCTTCTTACGAGAGATTGGTCAGGGCCACCGCTCGGATATTACAGTTCGTCGATGCCATGAGAGGAAAGGCGCACGGACTAACATTGGACCACATCCATAAAGCAGAGCG